CCATAAAATTCCTCTTAAATCGCTATGAAATGTAACGTTATGTAATACGCTGAAACTGCGGCATCTGACTCAACTGGAAAATCAACAAGTTATCTGAAAACTCGTAGACAAAAAAACAGCTAATTTTTTTGATTGAATGGGCACCGGCGTCAGAGGTCAATCTAGTAATCCGCAAAACGACGGCTTAAATAAGAATGAAACAATTGACGATTACCGTGCATACGTCCGAATATATGCTTGAATCGGAACAGTTACTAAGCTCTGACGGCCACAGACTATGTTTGATCAAGAATCTGCAGCTTCTTTCCGCTTGAAGACACAGCCGTCGCGACACCAATTTCACGCGGCCCTGCTCACAAGGCGACAGGTAGACAGTGCATAGCAGCTCGCGAATGACCGGCCAACATTCAGGCAGACCGGCAAGGTTCCGGTAGGCGTCCACCAAACTCGGCAGAAGATCTGGCAAAACACTAAGTTAAAGCACAAAATTTTACTCCTCAAGGAACAAGTGAACGGTAACATTCTATTAATTTGTCAGTAGTCACGCTAAAAATGTGATTACTATAACAACTACGATGATTGAAAACGCAACAGGAGGCAACTCTTCAGGCGTAATCTCTCGGCAATGCTAAGAAAGTGCGGGAGCATATGACGGGTCAAATGGCTCGATTACATAGAACATTTCGCATGGTTGCGTCGTGAAATTTTTAACCTCACAGCTTGTTCATTTGACGGCGGGTTGAAGCTGCTGCAAATGCGTCCTCAAGAAGCCTGCCTCGGCGAACAGAAAGCAATAGCGGGTTTTAAAAAGGAACAAATTCAAGCTTCTGGCTTCAGTGTCCTATAAGTTCCTATGGGGCAGAAAAAAAGTTGTCTTTGCCATAAATCCCTTTAAAGCCAAAACTTTGTGGGTTGTCAAGAAGGCTTTCTGGCTCCAAACGTACGAACTGCGGCAGATGACAAGAGCTCTGGAAGCTAATCCGCCTCTTTAAGAGGGCTCATGAAAGATGGGCAGAAACGCCGGTAGTGGTCAACCATCCAAGTGACCACAGGGTTTGCGCCGTAAATAAATAAACCATGTTTTATGCTGTTTGCCGTAAGGCCACCAACGAACGAATCAAATATTCAATCTTCGGCTTAACTAGGTAATGGTATCATGGGCTGAAAAATGCTTTTGTGCTTCTATGGCAAGTCCGTCAAATGTGTAAGAGCCGCGATTACAGACTCAGAGGAAAATCCCTAACGCACTAATTCCCACCGAAAGAATGATGAAATTTTCTTACCAACTCGTACACTTTCTAAAAGAAAGATGATGAATAATGGGTAAGACAGGCAGAACAAATGAACGGTACTCAACGGGTAAAACGACATCAAAAAATAGAAAAAAGTAAGTCTTGGTGTCATCTGAATGGTCAACACGCAAAAATCAGCGGCGCAATAGCGTTGTACAAACTTGTACATTTATATAGTGATTCTCTAGACAGAATAAAGACATTTTTCGCGACTATTCAGAAATTACTTACAGAACATTAATTTTATTAATTAAGGATTAACCATGACAAATTCAAACTCACTTCAATGACATATATCCTGAAGCATCATCGTATTTCTTAAATGCACTAGATGGGAGAGGTGTGTGAATAACACGTATTTTGAAATTCCGAGTGCGCATCAAAGTTGCATATGCCACCGCATGCAGATTGCTATATAGGACTATTCCCTGACTTCCCTTGGCATCAGTTCGCTGAAATTAAGGTCAATTACTGCTACCTGGTCTCGGAATGCTTTCATCGCTTTACGTCGTCTGTAATTCTAGGTTGTAATTCTTGCCCGCTTAATTGCAAGAGTCAAACAAATTAAGAGTAAAACACTTACTAAATGGTAGGAAGCCAAATCAAATATTTAATTAACATGAAGGCCTCGGATACTCAGAATGGTGTTCCTTGCAAGCTGAACACCATTCCAGGGTTATGGAAGTTTTTAAGGCAAATAAGAGAAGAAGCATTCCGAAAACTTCAAGGGGTTATAAAGTCGGAAAGTTTCTAAGAAACACATTTCAAGGATTCCGAAAGCTTCAGGTTAAGCGCTTATTTGATTTTTGGGCTTATTACCATTTACCGTTTTATTCATAATTACTTTCGGCCCGCTTGCGGCTTTTAGTAAGTTGTTACAGAAGACAAGCGCGTTTTCGATGCAAAGATTAATAGCTAAAACAGACTTAAACAAACATCGTTGTTCATCTTGCATGCAGTTTTGTTCTAAGAGGGGTGCCGCCGATGAAAGCGAAAGTTTGCGCGCCTTAAGTCAGTTAATCAAGCATGGCGAAACGCCGTTAGTTGATTATGAATGCTAAAACGATCAACAGACATTAGAGAAATGGAGTCACTTTTACACGCGCCTGTGACTTGACCTTTATAATGAATGCAAATCGGTGACCGAAGTGACTGTGGTAAGGCGGAATATGGAATCATTACTCAGGCAGTAAATGCTTTCGTTATAACCTTATCGATCGATGCTTGAAATAATGTCAGATCTGGTTGATGTCTAATACAGGAAACGTTTTCGAGTTGGTTACGTACCGATGGGGTTTCTCATGTTGCCATGTTGCTATCGTATATTTGTACACAAAAAACAGCATACAACACGGTCGATTTATACAAATGGCAAACAACATGGTCAGTGATTGTCTAATACCGACATTTAGGGTCGTGTCTCACGGACATTCGCAAGGGAGAAAAGTGGATTGATTTCGGAGGCTATTTATATAGTTCGCAGTTGGTCTAAAGTTTGGAGGCAGAATATTAATTTTATACTTACAGCTCAGTGATCACTACAGAATGTAGGCTCCGGTTTCCCTTACACAGTGTAGTACTTTATCTACCTCGGATGTATGAGATGCAAATGGCTCGAATGGAAATCGAGCCAAGGACCTCTCGATTGTGAATCCCATGCTCTACTTACCGCGTAACCTTCGTCCCCGTGAATAAGCCCCGAAAGTCAAATTATAAATTTATAAACGAATCCGGAGGTGCGAACTGATAAACGAAATCCCTTACAGGCCTTGTAACAGTTATCCGACTATGCAGATGGTGTCTGTAATTGCCTTTACAAAGGAAGTGATAATGTATTTTAACACTTTCTGTCCTTTCCTACTGAGCTGTGCGCAAAATTACCTTGCTCAGAGGAAGGGCGCCATATCTGGCACCAAACTTTAATGAAAATTTTACTCATTTAAATCTCAGTTAAAAATGTGAGATCAAGAACGACATTAGACTTCGAATATGGGCAATGATGGGGACAAGACATTACAAAAACAGATTTTATACCGCTTCGCAATGAACCTCGGCTTAGCAGTTCAAGGCACCAAGCTCTACATATTACCGCTTCCGCACGAATCGCTGCGACGAACGTATATCTCATGCTTAACTCTGGAGTAGCAGTAGTCCTCATAGAAAAGCGGATTGTTAGGCGCAGCAAAAAATATTTTCGGGAACCATCAGATAATTCAGCTACCTATGTTTTTTCGTTTTCAATGACAGGGCCAGATATGTGATTTTAACATGATTACTTTGTAAAATACGCCTTAGGTGTTCTATTCTAAAGTTTAGATGACAAACGAACCCACTCTGGGAAAGAATGCCTTTAACGCCCCGTCAATCTGACTTAACAGTGCCTATCAATTCATCAATCAGTCAGACGCATTTACTGCTTAAATAAGCGGAAATAGCATGTAAAACTAACACGGAGTAAAATTACAATCACTAACCATCGGAACAAGTATATAAATATGATGCATAAGCAAAATACATAGCTGTGAGACAAGGAATAAAGAATGACGAAGAGGAAATGCACTGATGGATAAAATGTTACTACAGTTGAATGCCTAAATGCATGGAATCACATGAGAGGATTGATTCGAGCAGATTTCACCCTTCCCGTTCTGCCCAGTCCTAGCCATATGCGTAATTTAATGTTCTGTATGCTAGTCAGTCTTTGCAACACGACTGTCGACAAGTCGACGCAAATATAGTGGGACCTGGTGGAATGGGACCCTGAAGTGCATTTTAAAAGAGACTAGTGCAGAGAATGGGGAAGATCGGTTAGAACAGATTTACCACGCTTCACAATAGAACATACAATCTGAACTGCCACGTCGTTTATGACATTCGTATAGGACAGCTGAAATATTCGGCCAACAATTTTCAGAGTTCGTTGAAGTTTGCGTCATGTTCACTATACCTGGCGAAGCATATGTAATCAGAGAAAGCATGCAGGTTATCAAAACAATTCTTTGATTCATTTGGGGGGATGTGATGCAGTTAGAAGTCTCAAAAACAGTTGCTCCATCGTACTTAAATGGCACCAAGAGAGTCTGTGAACCCTGTCTGTCCTTTGGCTCTGCAGCGAAACAGAGTGGACGATGCCGTTGGTTAGTGTATTACTAGCACGTGGGCTGGATCACAGAGGTAATAATATTCTCTCAAAAGCCCAGACATTATGTTATGCCTTTCAGAGGAGTAAGGTAAGAAAACTACTCTAATGAACGAGTTGAAGGTAAGACAACAACTTCACTAGCTGGTCAATCAGTCATTTAAACTTTCAGAAAGATAACCACAGACATCATGCAATAAGAGAATAGCAATCCGGGGAGAGAGTAGGACCGACGAGAAATGTATTTGGAACGGAAAAAATACGACGAAACAGTGACCTGCAAAATGCTAGGAACTATTTGACCGAAACGAATAGCAGCAACTGACTGAAGCGAATCATGACCAAAAATGCGACAACTGCACTGTACTATATTCAGCTTCAAACTGGTTCAAGTGTCCCCGGAAGACAAAAGAAGGCTTTATGTTTCTAACACAAACGGACATGGATACGGGTTGAAGTCTTTTCTTGAGACTGCTACATTTCACATAGCCAAAACGATACATTTTCAACCTTTTCTAGGAAAACATGCTGAGCAACGAAAGCCCAGCTGGAAACACGTAGGCTGAACGTTCGGTCAGCCGATGTTAACTTTAAAGGTTGCGAACAACTGCTAGACTGGCATGTGTTCGATGGACAAACGGTAACTTAGCATGCAAAACGGCGACTTACCTATGTCCTTCGTGACAAAGGAATGAAATCTTTCGTAAGGCAACGAGGCACCGAAGCAAAACATTGAAGATGCAGTGCTGTGGCATGGACTGCCAGTTTCTCGATAACACGCTGCATTTTCGAACCACTTGGCGGAAGAGCGCATGTTGGTCGATTGAAAAACCGGGCGTTCAACTGCGTCGTACGCTGGCCGATTATTTGGTAAAGCATGCGGTCTGTCCGCAAACAGTTTCTGACTTGACAAAACGAGCAAAAGGGCAGACAGAAGAAAACACATAATATAACACATAAGTACAAACTGACAACAAGTTGCAACGGTTACATATGATGACTACCTACCAAGAACCATACCCAAAAGCTATACATTGCAACGTGATCTGCAAGTTAGCAGACCACCCAGAAGTTACAGTCAAGCCTGAGTTCGAACTAGACAATCAGGAACTGCAAAAAAATGAATTTCCAATTCGATCCGAATTCTGTCAGGGACAAACTCAGCAATGTTGGTCCTTCATTTCACACGAATAGATACGTATTTACAGTCAGTTTGACTCGAAAACACTTCATCCGCCATTTCGACGCCAGCTTATGGCGCCGCCAAACAGGAATAGGTGGCAGGTACATGGGAGGTCTCAGTGACAAATCAATAACACCATAAATTACCGACTTTCATTCTCCGAACATTGCCAATTCGTGGTAACGTGTTGCACGGATAACGTAAGAGGCGGCAACGATGGATTGTCAAAATCTCTCTGCGGAAAATATGCGCGATCGAAGCGCTCAGAGAGAAAAACAGGTCAACATTATATACAGTAGTAATTTGTCCTCCGATTTCGATTCACGGATCAAAGCAACAAATTTATTACCTTGAACAATGAATTTAAATCGGAGAAATATCAACTGTTAGCAGTGCAGACAACAAATCGATATTTCCTTAAGTGCTTATTGTACATAGTAATTTAGTGACTTTCTTTTTGAATACGACAAATAAACGTGAAGAGCAGCGTTAACTTTACCGCAAAACCCGAATATCTTTTGGCTATGTCAAGTCTTATTATGTTAGTTACTTCTTGAAGTAATGGGCAAGTTCGGCAATTCAAACTGGCAGATCAAAAAAGGATCAATCTTCTCTGGCT